GCCTCGCACCGAGTACCTATCCACGTCATCATTTACCCAGAATGCTTTGTGTGTAAATAAAATGGCTCCGTCCGTGTTAAAATACATTTTGAAAAATTTACGAAACTAAACAATCTACGTTATTTTTACAGTTTTTATTTTACAGTTAAAATATACATTTATCAAATAAAGTCTAATGTTACAACTAATCAGGGATCCCCTTAACAACTTTAATCTGAACTTGTAGTGTGACTCCTTTCACCAGAACACAACTCTATGTCAATGCTAGCAAAATATCCCCCCCACAGCATTTCAGAACTGATATATCCCAACACAAACTTCATTGTTCAATAAGTCTTCATGCAGAAATAAACTTACCCAGTTATAGGCTATGCATCTGTGGGATATGAGTCATCAGATATCATCACTTGAGAGTGACTATTTTTTGTATCTCCCTAAAACAGAGCCAGTGACTTTTGATCCATTTAAATCCCAGGCTTGTATTCATTAAAGCAGTATGACAAATGCACTACAATCCTACTCCAGTTTATTTAGTATTTATTACAATGTTTGCAGAATATCTATATTTGATACAGTCTAATGACAGATAAACACTGTATTTTTTTATTGAACTGAATTGGCATTTTTAAGTTATTAATGCACATACACAAAGTCATCATTTTGCAATGTAATGTGGTCTAGATAATACATTTGTTATGTATTACGTTACAAGTTGAGGGTATTTCACTATCAAAACGTGAAATACCAATAAAACAAATTTATGTTTGTATATAAAAGTCACTTAAAAAGCAGGAGTATTTGGGGGCAGAGTATGCATGTACATTATTAACTGTAAAAAGGTCCGAGTACTTTGTTTTCTGTATTAACTTAAAATCTACCAGCAGTTCAATGATGAAGARAATTAAATATGCCCAAGCATGTTTGATGATATTCTTATCATAGCTTTAATATGCACGCATCTTTTGACAGATCTCTAATTTTAAAATCCACTAGTTCACCAGTATTTGTGACTGAAACTCCAGTTTTACTGATATTAAAACAATGAAAACAATTTTTAAGTAACTTATTTTTGCTGTTGTTGTCTTGACTAGGCCTGCAAAAATATAAATGGTTCATCATCACTACAATGTCAGTGAGATCCAATACCATTGTTGCAAAAGACTGCTGGTCTGCAATAAATCAGAGATTAGAATTTATATTCTGATTCCCATGCATTCATGTACTGCATGCTAATATTTGGTCAGTCCAAAGGACTTCCAAAGGTTTTGATGCCCACACTTTGATTAAGACAAAGAAAGTGGAAAATATGTAGGTTTAATCACAATTCTTTTATAACTGCTATATTACAATACAAAATTGCACATTTTTTTCTAAACATTTTTACCCCAAGTGTTAATAGAGAAAATCGAAATTAAATGTTGAGCTATTTGAGACATGCTACAGAAAGCGTAAGTTAGCTGCTTTGACATGCAACAGTTTGACAAGCTTTGTTTCTCTWCTTATTTTAGAAACATCTCTTAAACTGTACCAAACAAAATATCGTAGTTTAACAGTTCGGATTTTATTTTATTTTTCAAGTGAACTGGATTCATCAAGGACGTCTCAGACACAGCCTGTCATGCTTCATTGAGCCTCAGAGCAGCGTTTTCGACAACGGCATTGTATTTATTTACTTGTTTTTGTTAGTTTCATGTCATTCCCACAGATTGTACAACTGATATTCAGAATGAGTAGTCTTAATTTCCATGTCGTGGCAAAACTGTCAAATAACACAACAAGGCGTGATCTTGCAGGAACAGACATCATTAGCTCAAATCACAACTTCCCTCGTGTACATCGGTCAAAACTCACCCAGCATCCATGGTGACTGAAATAAATATCTCACACTGGCCTGAGATGGGTGTCTAAGCCTTAAACATTTGTTAAAACTAGACAATTTTAGGCCAAATAAAATTCCTTGACGACCCAGACGCAAGGAGACCGCCATGTTGTCATTCTCCGACCCTGGGAGGTGTCCATATATATGCCTGACGATAAATACGTGGGGTAAGAGGGGAAAGCGCGTTTTCTAATATTAATGTTGCCCTTTCAAATATTATATAAACAAGCATGTAATACTCGAGGATACAGAAGGAGCATAAAGCATTTATTTAAGCAGAAAATGAACAGGCAAAAGTACCCTACACCGATCTTGCTCTTTTTTTAAAATAAAAACTTTATTGTTTGAAAAAGGCATTACACTTTTCTTGCCTCGAAAAACTACTAAGCTATGGAAAATTTAAAAGGGGTGGGGGAAGATAGACTCGTCCTATTGAACAATTGTTTTGTAGTCTGGATATACACAATCTTGTGATATAAAACTGATTTATATTTTTGAATTAAAAAGAGGATTACCTATTTATTTATTTATTTATTTATTTAGTTAGTTTATTTGTTTATTTATTTAGTTGTTTATTTATTTAGTTGTTTATTTAT